GGTGGGATCGGGTTCTGCTCCCCAGGAATGAGGGACAGGATGAGACGCCTCAGGTTGTGCCAGGGGAGGTTTAAGGTGGATATTGGGATAATTCCTCATGGGAAGGGCCGTTCAGGCCTGGCACAGCTGCCCCAGGGCAGGGGTGGAATCACCATCCCTGGAGGGATTTAGAAGCCCTGTGGATGTGGATGTGGCACTTGGGGACATGGTCAGTGGTGGCCTTGGCGGGGCTGGGCTGACAGTTGAATTCCAGGACCTTAAAGGGCTTTTCCAACCTAAATCCTTCTGGGATTCCTCGAAGGAGGCAGCAGGCAGGTGTTTAATCCTGGGAAAGAGAAACCAGACGTGATCCCTGTGAGTGTCTGCAAAGCCACCAGCATGGAATGCTCTCCCAGGGAAAATTGCTGCTTCCGAGGGAGCCGATGGAAGAGCCCAAACCTCAACCTGCAGAACCATGGAATGGGTTGGGTTGGGTTGGAAGGGTCCTTAAGGATCATGGAATTCCAACGCCCTGCCGTGGGCAGGGACACCTCCCACTAGCCCAGGTTGCTCCAAGCTGGCCTTGGACATTCCAAGGGATGGGGCAGCCACAGCTTCTCTGGGAATTCCAGCCCAGCCCCTCTCCACCCTCCCAGCCAAGAATTCCTTCCCATTATCCCATCTGAAAGAAAATAGGAAATATAATAAATATAATAAACTTAATAAATACAATAATTATTACGAATTCTCCTCCAAATATAATAAATAATAGTATAACAAATATTATAAATAATGTATATTAGAGTACTACTGGGATATTATTATATATTATATGTAATAAATATAATAACATAATAATAACATAGCAAATAAACATAGCAAAGATAAATAGAGTATATAAGAATATAATACATTATACACAGAAAATATTTTAATATATAGTATAATGATATAATAAATATAGTAAATATAATAAATATAGTAATATGGATACTCCACCTAATATAATAAGTAATACTATTATAAATATTCTAAATTTATATTATAGTTCTGACATTATTATATGTTATATATAATAAATATAATAACAGTTATAATAAACATAACAAATATTATCTAATATAAGAATATAATACATTATACACTAAATATTTCAATACATATAGTATAATGTAATATAATAAATGAAATATAATAAACATAATAAGTGCAACAATAATATGAATACTCCACCTAATATAATAAATAATAGTATAATATATATTATAAATAATATATTATAGTAATTATATGTTATATATATAATAAACCTAGCAGCAGTTATAATAAAGATAATAGAGGTGGATTAATATATGCAGATATATATTTAATCTATAACTCTATAGATACAAAATCTACCTAAATATAGATATATCTGATAGATATATCAGATATGTCTGTATATAATCCAAATATGTATAAAATAAAACTGAATATACATAATTGAATAGATATATTCAATAATATATCAATGATATAAAAAACTGAGAATAAAAATACCATCCAGGGCTCATATCTCATACATTATCTCTGGATATTATTACATAAATATGTTGAATAATTCTAGATAATGGGATACACATATATGTGTGTATATATATATATATTTATGTATATATTATATATATATTATATATTATATATATTATATATATATTATATATATTATATATATTATATATTATCTATATTATATATAGATAATTTATACTTTATATATTTTTATGTACTTTTACATATTATTTATATATATTTACAGATACTTTAGATATTTAAGTATACTTTAATAGATATTTATTATCTCTATATATGTTCTTTAATTTACATTTATTATTTATTTATATATTTATATATACTTTCTATATATATACTTTCTATATATAT